TTATAAAAAAATAATTGAATAAATATATAAAATTAAAGAAATCATATTATTATTAATAATAATATAATATTAATATTATATAATTATATATAAAATATGAATTATAAAAATAATTAAATCATGTAATTTATATTCAATAAATTTTTGATTTCAAGTCGTTTATATTATTATTTTATATATTTATTCAATTTTAAAACATAATGATTCATTTTTTATTTTAATAGTTATTTATATTATAATGCAATCAAAAAATAATACACTGTAAATAATAAAATTAAAAAATTTTATTATAAAATTTAATTTCTTCATTATCAAAATTATTATTATTGTAATAATAATTTCCCAATTCTTTTATAATTACTGCTCTAAAGCTAATTATAAAATAAGAGACTATAATAGCAATAACAATCTGTATGTACTCAATACTTCAAGAATCATACTAACAATGTGATTATAAAAAAGATTTGACTGTAAAACAAATTCAAAAAGAAAATATGATATCAACAATATTATATTATATTCAAAATCTTAACCAAAAATTTTATTTATTATTGTTAATAACGCTGTTTTCTGCTTCCTTCCTTGGTTTTGCTCGTGTCTCAACGCTATTAAATAAAAAATTTGTTCAGAATTAATAAATGAAAAAATCCTCTTCCAATCAAATAACGAAATTTACTTTGTCACATACCTACCAACATTATGATCTAAAATCATTTTTTTCTCCAACATATCCAAAAATTCGCCTCTATACCCATGGCACATGCGAAACAACACACTTTCCATTCGCGAGAAAAATTCTACAGTAGTTACAATTTGTGAACTACTCAGCTGCGCGAAATCACATCCAATGAAAGTGAGATTGCGAAGTGATTTCGCAGTTGCATCAGATCTTAATGCGTCAATTATTTCGTCGAGACCATATTTACACGAGGAAATTGTGAATTCCGTGAGGTAACCAGATTTTCCTTGTGCCTTTATAATTGTGACTATTTGTGTCGTTTCTATCATTGCTTCTTCAGGCGAAAGTGCATTTGCCTTTGACACGCATATAGTTTTGAATTTGTGTTGCGCATTTGCAATTGCTGAATAAATATCGACTAGTAAAATTTTTCGAGAACTTTCAGAGGAAGAAGAAAGAGAAGAAAAAGAGTCTTTGGGTGAAAATTTTTTCTTTCGATCCATTGATTTATCATAGAAACATGAATTTAATGATAAATGATGCAACGATTGAGATTCTTCGGCAAACATTCGAATCAGGGCAAACAGTAAATGATAAACATCATGTCCATCAATTGAAGGTTCTCGTTTCAGTTTCCAGTCCCAGACTGCACAGAGAATTCGTCTATCGTCCAACGATGAAATATATTTCGGGTAATTAAAAAATCTTTTAGATGATGGCAAAGAAGGTAATATTTTTATGTCCGTTCGATCTTTTAACCGTTTTTTTGCATCTGCTGATAGACAACTAATGTATACATCTATGATCTTTGATTGCTTTTCTTCACGTTTCGATTCTTTTTTCAAGTAGTTGGCGTAGTTGAACGGGTTTCGCCAAAGTATTGGAATTATTAGACGACACCAGATTCTGCTTACTAGAAGACAAGAAAAAAGTGTGTTAGCATCGTCTTGTTCTATGTGGTCTAGGATGTTTGGGAGGATATCGATTGGCAGTTCTGGTAGTTGTCTCATTTTTATTTTAATATTTTTTTATAATTGTCCTATTCTCAAACATCTTTATAGTGTTATTGATATGCACAGCGAAATTAACTGCATCAATGAATGGTCGTACGCCCGCTGTAAATAGAACTTTCTTTATCGGTATACATGTACATGTTACATGTGTAATAAAACCGAACAAAAAGGGCATATCATGTGATTTTAAAGGGGTAAACCAATCAAATCGAAATATTAATATAATTCCAATTACGAGGAAAATAAGGTTTGGCTCAAGAGTTTAGAATATATTATTAGCAAGGAACATTTTTTTGTTAGAGCATAAAAAGTGGTTTCATAGGCAAACTCCCGAGATTTGTTACACATTGATCTTGCGATTTGATTGGTTTACCCCTTAAAAATCACATGATCCGCCCTTTTCACTTTTAGTAAAAATCTCATTTTCTTACATGTATTAATTAAATTATTTCTGTGGCGGAGTGTTAGGGAAAAAATTTACATTTCGATAAATTTTCCACGCCAATACTAAATACATGCATGATTACTAATAAAATGTATATCAGATATCCCTTTCAAATGATTGTGATGTGATTCTCACGAACGTGTTATATTTTTTTCTCACGATGCTTCTAATAAGAAACAACAATAAATAGAACCATTTTTCTCACAAAAACAAACAAATCTCTATCATATCAAATAAAATAACTTTATAAAAAATGTCAACCACGCAAGTCAAAGTAGGCGACACCATTCCCAAAAATGTATATTTTGGAGAGTTGAAAGATGGCGAAGAAGACCCGCAAAAAATTACTAGTGACGAAATATTCAAGGGGAAAAAAGTTGTCATTTTTGGAATTCCGGGTATTTTACTTTTATTTCTGTAATCTCGTCCTATTGAATTAGATCGAAAATTATGAAATATTGAATTTGAAATTTTGATTAAAGGTGCTTTTACGTCTGTTTGCAGTGCCAAACATCTTCCTCAATTCGTTGATCACAGTGAGGATTTTAAAAAGAAAGGAATTGATACCGTCGCCTGTGTTGCTGTTAATGGCAAGTAGAAAATTTATGTTTTTCGACCTATATTATAAATTTATTGGACCAGAACATCTAAAACCTTTAAAATTTACAGATCCGTTCGTAATGAGAGAATGGGCAAAGGCACATAACGTCGAAGGAAAAGTGAGAATGCTCGCAGACGGTGACGGAGTTTTCCACCGTGGATTAGGACTTGTACAGAAACTTCCGTTTTCGGGTGAACGTGGTCTTCGATTCTCTGCATATATAGAAAATGGTGTTGTCAAGATTCTTAATGTGGAAGAGCCTGGTGCACTTGGGTATAAAGTTAGTGGTCCCGAAAAGATGCTAAAAGATTTAGATGAGTAGGGTAAGAAATAAGCAACTAAAAAAGAATAGTGTTTGATTTTTATGTGATTTTCTATATACTGTTCTCGAGTTGAATATACATGTATGCAGACTTTAAATAAATAAACGATAGTTTTGCAGTGTGTGTGTCTTTTACATTAGCGATAGTTTCATCAACAGTAATACCCGAATAATGCGCGAATCATACATGTCCATATATTAGTACAAAATTTAGTATATGCATCTAGTATAACTTAATTATTTCTTTCAAGAACATCAAAAGACAAGTTGTAAATCTTTTGTAAATTTTGTAAACATTCTACGTAAATGTTTTGCAAACTATGGTACTTAATATAATTTTTATTACAAGATATATAGCTTATAATGATGAGTTCGAGTATAGATTGAATTATTTATAATATTGAGAGAGATTAAAATTATTTTAAAGATTTTCTGATGCCAATACTTATAAGTATTATTAATATAAAAATAATAAATAAAATAAATAAACATGAAAAATAAAGATATCAAAAATTAAATTACAAATCAAAACTAAATTATAAACCAAAAATTATTAAGTATATTATTATAAGCTACAGTATATTTAAAGAGATAGATTTTACCTGAGATATACTTATAATAATATAGATTAAATTATTTATAATATTAAGTAAAATCAAAGTTAATTCTAAAGATTTTTTAGTACTAATACTTATAATAATAAAACTCTTAATATATTTTTACTTCTTATATTTTACAAGAATTAGAAAAATTTATTATATACTTTATTTTAAAGAGTTTTTATATAATAAATTTTATATTTATAATATAATAAGTTATATATCAGAGCTTGATAATTTGAAATATTACTTTATTCTTGTCTGATTTCTATTTATTATTATTATAATTATAATAACTTTTGATCATTTATATTTCTTTTAGCTTAAATTTTTATTTTATGTTTCTTATATTATATTTTTATTTTTATATTACTTAGTTTAAAGATTAATTTCACTCTGAAAATACAGATAATTATTATATATTTAATAAATTTAGATTAATATATATTGTCATATAGATTTTTTAATTAGTAATTTAGATAATTAATATTTTTAATTAGTTTTATTATTAATTTATTACTTATATTTTTATTTATTCTCTTTTATTATTATTTATTTTATTATTAATTATTTATATATTATTAAATTAAGAATAATTAGCTCTTCAAAAATATAATATAAGATTATTAATATATTTAATTATATTTAATATATATAAATTATATATTATTAATTTATTTATATTTATATTTATTTTATTTTATATAAATATATTTTTATATTTTGTAAAATAATCTTCAAATTAAATACTATACAAATAATAAAATTATAAATATTTAAAAATTAAAACTATTTATTTTAGATTTTATCTTATTTATAATTATAAATAAATAATCTTACAACTTGATATAAATATTCAGAATATCAATCTGATACACAAAATATCATGTAATATTACTAATTTTAAACTAATATATATATAAAATTGGAATTGCTTTGCTTAATAATAAATACAATAATAAAATATTTTTATTATCAGATTTTGCATCTATTAACAAAAAAATAAAAAAAAATGCTATCTATTTCTAAGCATGAAGCATAAAGAATGGTAGTAAGTCAGTTTTAGACAAATAATATCTGAAAATCTGCAGAAATTATGTGAATAATAGATTTTTCTAAATTTATGATATATGATATAATTAATCAAATTAAAAAATCATCAAGTATTATATCACTTTTCAGATCTGAAAGATCTCTAATTCTTATAATTAAGCAATATCACATTCTTGATTGATTGATACAGATTAATAATATCATTATTATAACTAAAATAACTGAAAGACTTAAACAAAAAGATTCTAACTTGAAAGTTTTCATTCATATAATTCAATATATTTTAAAAAAAATCTTTAATTTAATATTTGTCATTTACTACAGATCTTTCTTTTATAATTTTATTATATTATTATATTATAACTCATCTTGAATAGACACAAAAATATATCTGTTAAAATTAGTCTTATATAATTTTTTCTGATAAAATAACCCTTTAATTATTCAGAAATACTTAGCTATTAAAATATTATTATAGAATATCATAATCATATAAAAGTATAATAAAGTATTCCTATAAGATTCATGCTTGAGATGCTTTTAGTATACAAGAATTAATTATACTTATCTTATTTACTAAAAACTTTAATATAAAAAATATCAAGTAATCTTGAAATAAATCTTTTTTTCTATATTTCCGTAACAGATTATAGATTGTATTTTTAATAGGATAACTCTCTAATTCATAATGCAAATAAAAGTAATTAATCTTTTTCATTACTATGATATTTGAATTCTTGATTAGTCTTCTTACTTATCAGATATTAATTTCATCAAGAATTTATGAACTATACTTAAGAAAAAGATGAAAAAGAAAATAAATTTATGGTTAATGTAATAATTTTAATTGGATTATCTTTCTTTAGATTCTTTTTAGCTTAGATTTTCATTTTGCGCTATCTGTATAACAGATTAGCTTTGTATTATATTTTTAAGAAGATCATTTTCACTCTGAATACACAGATGATCATTATGTATTA